ACTCTCATTCTCTCCTCCGCATTGTGTCCCGTAAAGAGAACACTTTTTTTCGGTTTCCCACGTTGCTACCGTTTCCAATGTCCTCGATCTGGCTCAAGAAACGTGCAACAGCCAAATGCAAGGAACTAGTACTTTGTTATTCAAATTCTTTCATTGTATCCTTTTGTTCTTTATCGAAGATATTGGTAAGAAGAATGCGATGCTTATTCGATAGGAGCAACCAGCAGAAAAATATTCTTTACGACGCAACGTTTCCGTTCTACCATCCTTCTGTGAATCTCAACAGGAGAAATTCTACAATGATATTCTATTACACTGCGTACAAATTGATGAAGGATTCATATTGCAATGTAAAGAAGACGTTCAGAAAAAGAGAAATCGTATCGCAATTTCGCCCAGAAATTACATCGACAATTTGCATTCGTAAATAACATTTGAACTGCGATGTCGTATGATACGCACGCGTCAGACTGGCGCACGCATACCGCATTAATAAACTCACCTATGTTTATGCGAGAGACGCATCGACCATGGCGAAGAGCCCGGGTGAATGCTACGGCAATTTCGCCAGCCACTTTGCCACGAAGTACTTACTTGATTAAGGTCCTTGGATAATTTCAGAAGAGGGCGAAGAAGCCACGGCGTGGAAAAGGGATAGAATTCCTGGGACCGAGTTAAAGAGTTGTTCAAAAGCGATGAGTAACTAATGGAAGGAAAATCTGGATCCGAGGGAAGCAGGAACGAGTTCGAGATCTAAACTACGTACTTGTGTCTTTTATCAGATTATAATCCACATGTTTGAATTGTTCAAAATGACTAAAATTTGGCTCCCTTCGCTAATTTCGCAACCTTCGCCTCCGTTGCCGCGATTCTCACAAATCGCCACTGGCTTCGAAGCGTTTGACGAGTAGCTAAATTTGCGGTGGAAGGAGTGTCAGCGAGAGACCGCTACTTAAACGCAGCCTACAATTTAATTTCGCTTTAACAGACTGCCGGGTAAGAGGGTGAGGGATGGAACCTCTGTTGGGAACCACATTGTTGCACTTCCCTGCGTGGTCTCGGTACAATGCACCTGCGTGCCAGTCGTTTGACGACACTTGCGCATGCACCGCGAATATTTCGGCGTAAGGGAGCAGTCAGGGGCTAAACTAAGCGTTCCTTTTGAAGTTACTCCCGAGAGGGTTCCGACGTGGTTCGTTGGGGTAGCTAAAACTGCGCAAAACAAGCAGATTTGCCCGAAGTAACGATCCGCGTCACGAATCGTTATCAGCGCTCGAATCAAAGAGAAGCTCGCCTAGTCGAAACTGAAGGAGATTAGGAGCGGAAAAGGGGTTATGTCCCGGCAAAAATGACCCAGGGAACTTGTCAAAGATCGTCTCGCGGACAGGTTACCGAGGATCGTTTGATGCAACGAGTCTGTAACGCGGGAGATGTACGAACGTTGTATTTTCTTTAAAAAATAGTTTAAATCGCTTTCGTAAATTTATTCGGTAATGAACTTTTATACACATCGTAACTTAATACGTATATTTCATAACACGGAACGCCAGTAGTATAGAAATTTACTTGTAATCCCTACAGTTACTCAAACTTGTTATATGGCCTAAAGTCTCAGCCCGGCAGGATTAGGGTTAAGGAAGCTACATAAACTGAACTACGAAGTTTTACCTCATCCACTGTATTCGCCAGATATATCTCTTACTGCTGTTTCAAGCCTGTCTCTTGTACAGACTCCAACATTATGCTTTCGCTAAGTATTCTAACGCGTTGAGTACACTAAGCCTGATCTATTCGAGCGGAAAAATGATTAGGCACGCGACGCTCCTCGTCAACCTGATTTCAATCCACTCGATTTTGTTTTTGAATCGAACAACACAATTTAAAACTAACGAGTAAAAATTAATAAATTGTTTAAACATTCAGAAGAATTGAAAATCTAGAATCGGGGAATAGAACACAGAACGATATTTCCGTCGAATAAGCTAAAAGTGATTCGAGGAAATTTTATGACGCAGCCGGTATCGTCGCCGTCGGATCCTCTCTAATTTTCTCCATCGCGGCACTTCTTCGCGGAGCTTGCACAAAAGCTTTTAAGCTTCGGATTTTGTTCATTGATCCAATGAAATACATCGGAACACTGTCGAAGACGTAGCTGAAAGTAGCGTGGATTAAAAGGGAGAAATATAAGTGGAACGAAAGTCTGCTCGCAGCTTCTGACCGTCACGGCGCCTTGTTAAGAGTGATGAAATAATGCCCGTGGAAAGTTCTCAGCGCACTCGTCGAGCTGGCAAATCGAAACGAGACGCGACGAACTTTAAGTCGCAAATCCGTTGTCCAAACATTCGATTCACGGACGTTGATTGCACGTGTACTCGTATCAATGCGTCGATTAAATTCGACCAAAAAATTGTAAAATATATTGGTATTGTTAAACGCGTCGGTGGAGAAAACAATCAAACGAAAAAAATTCGTTGAAATTTGTTTCGTTCCTCGTTCTATGGCCACGATCGATATAAAATTCATACGTGTCGAACAAACGTCAAAGAAGGAACGCGAAGGCTGCGAAGAACCGGCTAAATTTAATAACCGGCTACAGTGCCTGGCAAATAAAAATACGTTCCTCTCTAATTTACAATTTTCCGTCCTCCGCTTCCCCGCAGCGCGGTACACGGTTCACGAAATTAGAAATACAAGAGTTAAATGGAAAACGTGATACCAAGCCTCCATTTCGACTGGCAACAATTCATTCGACGCCATGTACGCGTACATACGCTCGCAGTGCAATCGTCTCACGGCGCTCTCGCTGAAATTTCGGTGTAATCGATGCTTCGGCAATTATAAAATAGTATTTCTGAATTTCTAAACCACGAGGGATATATTTCGTTTCTTACTAACGAATATTATTCCACATCTTTTATTTATTTTCTCGAATTCTCTAGAATGATTATATCGTCGTAGGGAAGGTTCCTAAAACACATTTCTTCTCGCTATATTGCGAATCAAAGGTGCACTCAGGTTGTAACGTCGCCTTCAGTTATTCGATGGTTCCGGAACAGCCTGGCGTACGATTATTTTTCGAAGCGCGTAGACGTAGATCAGCTTGAATCCCCTTTGGCAACCACCTCGCCGCGTAGGGTGGGATCTCTCTTAAGCCGGCTGCAACTTTTCTATAGGACCAGACACACGGTCAACATGGGTCTTTGTTTCGGTAAGGGTCGTTCTCGTGACGCTTTCTTTATCGCTCTTTCAGCTACTCGTGGACGTTACCATTGTCGATAGAATGGAGCTACGGGGATCGGTGTCCCGCGATAAGATATAGGCGAGCTACTCAAATTCCAACCAGAGATGCTAGACCCCACGTGCGCTCGTAGAGTTTCGGAGAGTCGACAAGGATCAACTGTCAAATGCCCTCTTTTTCGATTCTTCGAAGCTGCCCAAAGTAATTTCGGACCGTGGGAGTCGAGAGAGGAAGACTCACATTTGCCCTCTCGCTTTTGAACAACTGAAATCTGACCTCGCGTCAACGGCATATGATCTGGAATCTCGACTGCCCAGGCATTCTTCCTTTCGTTGAAATCAATGAACGAGGATAAGGGCATCGAGTCGCTTGTGTTTAAGAGAGATCGATAACACGATGCTCGAGGGGTCTTTTAATATTTTTAAGTTCCATTAGATTGCCTAATTAAGATACAGAATACCCAGCATTCGATATTTACGATAATAAAGTTGTCGACGAATTAAAAAGAAAATCAAATAATTTCTACTTGTGAAAATTGGGGGATCTTTAATTTAATATGGAATATACTAGATTTTGAATTTCGAAAAACATAGTAGAATCGTTCGTGGATGGCTTAAAGAACGTCGCCCAATTATGGTATCCATGTCAGTTTTGATAAAACGACCTCCCTCTAATCAAGACGCCGGCCATGCACGTCACATTTCCTCATTATATTCCTCCAACGAAGCGACAATTCACACGGTCCCACATACGAATCGACACATGTCGCCTCGCGTTTACCCCCGCGCAGACCTGTCACAGAGAAACGTGCACGGTAACAATAGCAGAAGAAGCATTAGCGGGCCGTCATATTCAACAGAATATTCCGTCATGCCCACCATTCCTGTCGCAAGGTTAATTCTCCCAGCGCCGCGTTCCTCGCGCGACTGTAAATGGCTGACAGTCTCCGCGGGAACAATGGCTCTCCCAACCCCCGTCCGCTTGATACGAACGCCACCCCCTTGGCGCGTTCTTCGGTGGATTTACCTGGTTCAGACGAGACGCGACGAAGAACGAAATGACAACGCGCCGGAACAAAGACTGCTTTGGACCTTGAAAGGAACGAGCGAGGGAAGTTAGGCGGTCCGCTAGTTAAACCGAACAATTTTTCTTTAATCGTTCCCTCGGCTAAGAGCAGACGATTCTTTGTTGAGCGTGTTCGCTAAGTCGCTGCTCCATTATCCAAGACATCGTCTCGTACGAGTAATGAGTAATGTTGACGCTGTCGTCTCTCTTCCCTCGTAATACCCCACCGGGGGTATTCTTTACGGCGACAATAGTAATACGAATCCGCTTCAGAATTCCGGGAGTAACTATACACAATTAAACCCTGGCGCATATACGTGAATAATGAATACTCTTGGGTACGTAGGCTGAACCTCTCTTGAATTCAGATCTCGGTGAATATTCTATACGCGTGTCGTCGTTTAACCACCGATTGCAATTCCAAAGTAGTCGATCCAATACAGGGTCAGACGACCGATACGACGGATGCACGGAATTATCGTTGACTCGTACTACTTCATTAGTTTTTTAGATGGAATTCTAGCTCTACGACTGTTTATGTTATGTTCCTTCACTGTTGCTATATTTATTGCACGTTCTCGTAAACTAAATAAATAAATGACCACGGTAATAATTGGAGATTATTCAGCGTGAAATGGGCGACGCGTGACTTTGTGTGGTCGAGAAAGGGTATGAATGGACACTTTTCTGTTCGCAGGGATGGTGGACAGCGGGAGGAGGCATCCGGTGTTGCTGTACATTCACGGCGAGAGCTACGACTGGGGAAGCGGAAACCCGTACAACGGCAGCGTCCTGGCCAGCTACACCGACCAAGTGATCGTCACGATGAACTACCGGCTGGGCGTGCTCGGCTTCCTGAACGCCAACGTGGCGCCTCAGACCCAGGCGAGGGTCGCGAATTACGGTCTGATGGATCAGATCGCGGCGCTGCACTGGGTCAAAGAACACATCGCCCTGTTTGGCGGCGATCCCAACAACGTGACGCTGATGGGCCAAGGGACAGGGGCAGCGTGCGTTCATTTTCTCGCCATCAGCCCGACCGTCATACGAGGTGAGCCGCATCACGCCCGCGTACACGTCGCGCCCGGAAATGAATTCGTCGACGCGCGTCCCCGACGCTTTGGAATATTTTTCAACTGCCAGGGGTGCTTGTAAACGCTCCACGCAGTCACTCCGCGTCTCATCCCCTTCTTCTTCAGCCTTTATTCCGACACAGCAACGCTGAAAAGTTTCCAGCACCTTTCTTTTTTATAATTGCTTCGAGGGTTTGCCTCCTTATCGATGCAATATGACGTTTATTCTTGAATACTGCAAAGCTAATAATATCAAACTATATCTGTAACTATCTATTGACCACTCCTTTTAAAAATAATTTGAAATTGAATCGTCCCGGGGTTAGGTTCATCGAGATGCCGACGAAGACTTTTTGAGGTACAAGTAATTCAAAGGAAGATAGGAGAGTAAAAGGGGATTGGAAAAAAATTTAGTTCCGCGCCAGAGGTGTCTTCTTTCCCCGTCCTCGAGTATGAAGTTCATCCAATTGAAAGCGACATCCGCCAAGCAATCTCGACAATTCACTAGAACGTCGGAAACTTCTGAAACTACGCACATAATACGGCGGAAATACACATTTCATGTCGGTGACTTCGTAGCTGGGCTCTATTCAGACCGAAACTACAAAATTCTATTCCGTATCTTTTTCCCCCCCAGTTTTGGCACACGATATACGCAATCGCCAGACGATTCTTCGATAAAATTCTCATTGTGCACGGTTATCGAAGACCGGGTCGCCGCGCGACAGGTCGCTAAAAATCGTTCAGACCGAGAAATCGTTATCCGATAAGTAACTAGACGCGAAGCCTCTCTTCTCTCAATGCAGGAGTTCAATCCTCTTCGAAGATTCCTGCAGATTCCTTCGATCGTGAACGAGACTGCTAACGAGACTCTCGAAAAGAATCGAAGAGGATACGAGCTTACGTGTGGACGTATAGTGGCGAAATTGATCTGAAAAATTCGAACAAAAATTGGGAATTTTTATGCTCCTCGTTAGAGCATGACAGATGTAAAGTGATGGTCAAATTTAACTGGAAACCTAGTATTTTGGGCTTTCTATGATCATTTATTGAACAAATAAACTTGATAGTTTCATCTGGGTAAATCGATGGAAAATTATACCGAACGGACGCCTTGTTATTGATTTGCACCACTTTTGTATTCTATAAATCGTCTGGAATACATTTCGTTTATACAGTTTAGCACGTCCCTCGGATGGTAAAAGCATTTTCCGAGGAAACGATAAATCAGTGACAGAACAACTCGCGAAAAAAGTAAACAGGATTGCAAGGGTCTCGATAGTTCGATGAATTAGCCTCATCCTGAATTGTTCAGCTTTCGAGTCCCATCTGGTTTGCCTGTCACGCAAAATCTTCCATTTTTCATTCGGGCAAAACACCCAACACCTAATTTTCCCCTTCTTCCTAATGAATTCATGGTCCACCGTTTCCAGGCCCTCAAATAATACCCAAACACGAAAATAAGGGGGCCAAATGTGCCCTTGAATCATCGATAGAGCATCAAAATCGAACTTTTTGTACCAAATTTCAACCCTTTATCTTGTTCGGAAGGGTAGTTACAGGGAAAATTCGGATTATCAAATTTCTGCCTATTTTCCGTGTTTAATCGAGTACGAAAATTACGTAAAAAATCTGGTGCATGGTGGTTATCGAGATACTTGTTTTTCGATTCCATATCTAGAACTCGTGTTTGCATTAAACGTGGAAAATCCATATATTATTCAAAGAAATCCACAATTGGAACGTGGAGATTAATAGAATATAATCATACTGTATAACTTGAACTTTTTATTTTTACTGTGACTCGTTCTCGCCTAAAGAAGCAAACGACGCTAGTCTGACAGAAAGTGCGGCTAGTTCCCGATAATGTATCGCCCTCGATATTGGCCTCCGCCACCCTTCGCGTCTTCATCCCCGTCGATTTTTCGCAGCTTCGTTCGCGGTTAACCGTTCGACTAACAGCGTTCCTGATCGAATTACCCTCGCAGCCCGCGCCACGAGGGTGGAACGAATGGACACGAACGACCGAATAACGGCGAACGAGACCGGCACCCGCGATATTATGCGCGTAGAATGTCGATCCTCCTACCCCCATATGCGCTATCGGAAAATGCTCACCCTCTTTACGGCGGATCCGCGGTCCTCCGCAAAGCTGAAACTTTTTCCGACGTCGCTTCTTCCGTTCGTTTCTTGTCTCGAGACCGTCGACGGCCCCGCGGAATTTCACGTTCAAGCCTGCCGTTTCCGAAAGATATTTCCGGCCGCGACGAGGCTTCCGCCGTGGAAACTGCTGGTGCGAATCTGTCTTGATAAATTATCGAGCACGGGCGAGGGAGAGTCGAAGGGGTGCTAATTGAAGTTATCGAAAGTTATTGATCGAAGCTGCGGGCTCTTCGAGTTCGGGGGAAGATTGTTCTTGCGATCGAGCGATACGAAAGTTATAAATTAGACGTTGGGTTTTACCGCTGAAACAAGAATTGCCCCTCTGAAAATGTTCCAACCGGTTCGGTTCTTGTTATTATTATTTCCAGTGGCTTCACGTTGCTTTTCATTCTCTTGCCAAAGGTATTTTTACGGGGTTTTTCTCGCGACTCGACCATACTGGAAGAGAATCGGCAGACAATTATCTTTGGAACGTGACGATCGTTGAAAAGGACATCCGCCGCGCTTGTTACTTTGAACATCGTTTCCTGCTTAAGATCGATCTTCCCTCCTGTTTCTCGCTGCCTCGAGGTAACCTCACTTCAAATTTCATTAAAAGTCTCGGTCGCTGGTTTCTTCCCTCGATCTGGAAGCAGATTGTGCCCAATGTAACGTTGCACCGTTCAGAACTTCGTTTAATACGAAACGTTAACTGATTCCTCGATACTAAGTTTCCTTCGTTTGATCGTACCTTCGATATTAAGTATTCCCGAGTCGGTATCTGGTTCCCTGAATTATTTTCACGGTAATTTCAAGCCCTGTTTCGAGCAACAACTGAAGGAACAATCCCGTAGAATGGTGCTGTTAAGAGAAAATAAAGCCCGATAAGACTTCGAAACATTAAAAAGTGCACTTGCAGTTACAAGAATCGAGTATCCTACTTTCCTTTATTAAAATTGCAACTTTATCTTCGTAGAATTGTTGCGCCGTTTCGAAAGTTTTATCCTTTCGCGATTAATTTTAGTGGGGATCGTTTATTCTCTCGATAGTTTTTACTCTAGAATTAATTTCACAAAATTAAAAGATCCCAGAATGACAGTGACTGCACTTAATACTATGTGTGTCTCTCGTACGCTTCATATAAGAAAATAATTCTACTTTGTTCCTATTACACATTCTCGTAACACGTTTCGTTCTATATTACGAGACCTTTTTGATCTTAATTAACAACCTCGTTCCATAATAAAAGATAATTATAATATGCTCCACATAAGAAGATAACTTTGACGTTAACAGAGAATTCATGTAATTGTCATAAAACAAATACTGAGAATTGTGTGAATATTATCAAATAATATTCCTTAATTTTCCACTATTTCAATCGTACAACTTGCCAACGGTTTATAATTTTTTAAGGCGCAATAACATCGTGTAATTAATTGCAATTAGAGAACTGTTATAATTTGGTAAGTAAAAGTGTTACACAAATTTGACAATCTATCTTAACGTGACCAATATAATTCTTTTTTAAATTTCTTCTCTCTCTGATAAATTAAATCCAAAGTTTTGGCGCTCGTCGGAACGATCGAGCTCGATGTAGCGCGCGAAGACACGGCAGTTTTGAAATTCGTCATCGCGGAGCAGACACGGTTGTCGTCGAGCGTGCACACCTGCGAAAACTTTCCCTGTTCGATACAGAGACTGATTAATTAAAGACCCTTCCGGGAATCTTCTTTCGTGTACTTTGAAGGATATCTCGCATCGTCCGAAATACGTCTCGGAAAGTTCGCGTCGTTTGTCGGAAGTTCCGACGGAGTTCCCGGAACGATCGGGACGACGACAGATTACAGAGTCCCGTTATAAATCAGGCGGGAGAACTATGCTCGATTCTTCGATGAAAATCGTCATAGCGCGTAATGAAAGATTAATAAGACGAACGGTAACTCGCGAAGTTCGAGGAATTCCAATGCATCGACGATGAAGTTACGCGAAAGTTACGCGGAGATTCTGAATTTGAAACGATAAAAATTCTGCGACGTTTTGTCGTAGAAACCAATCGAATGCACACAGGTTCAACACGATGGAATGAGACAAAAATTAGGAGTTTTCCCCGTGTTACAAGAGATCTATTGTGTATAAAAAAATTTCTGATTAATAAGATTGCTCGAGTAGCGAACAAAATAAATAATCTGACCCGAAATTCTGTGCAGGTCTCTTCAAGAGAGCCATTTTGCTCTCCGGTAGCGCTCTTTCGTCGTGGGCCGTGGTCGAAGATCCCGTCTCGTACGCGCTGAAGCTCGCCAGGGCGGTCAACTGCTCGATCCCCGATGATCTACTGAAGGACAACGAGCTGATCGTCGACTGCCTTCGAGAACGTAGCTTGGAAGAACTGATGCAGGTCGACATACAGCCACCGACCTTCCTCAGCGCTTTTGGACCGAGCGTCGACGGTGTGGTCATCAAGCCAGACTTCCAGAAAGACTTGTTGTCCTACATGGGCCCGGAATTCCAAGGATTCGGGTAAGGGAGTGGAAACACGCAGAATTTTAATGCTGGAAAACTGGAAATCGAATACTCTCTTCCTGGTCAGTGTCAGGATTCGAACAAGCAAACTGTAGATCAAGATTGGACGACTAGTAGCCACGTTTGATTATCACAGTTCCGTCTAAAGCGATTAGATTGATTGTATTTTGTTTTAAACTAAACGACACAAGAGGTCCACATAATTTCCTCCACTTCTTAAGTTCTTGGAAGCCCCTAAACAAGCTAAGAACCTAAACAGTGGAGAGGATTAGGTTGTGCAAGGTTTTCCAAACTCTTTTAGACCAAACCCCTCGCTTGCAACGCATTGCATTCTAAAAAGATCACATTTGGACATTTTCCACTGTTACAAACTTTAAATCAGTGCTTCCTGTTTGATTAAATTTACTTGTCTGAATTACCGTTCCGTTCAGAATGAGAATTGAGACAAGCAAAATGAGACGTTCGAGTTGTAATATCGGGACAACAGCTTCTTCTTCGATTCGTATAATATTTTGTTTAGCGACGCTGCTCAACAATTTTATTGGAGGTAATAGCCAATTATTTAAAGTACTCTTACCAAACCACCGGTGACGTCCTTATCTCTAGGAAGTACTTCCTTAATGTCTTCGTTTCCCGTCTCCCACGACTTTATCGAGGCCCCCTCATTAAATGTAAAGCAGATGCAGAACCTGCTCGATCCACCGCGGACATTAGTGCGGTTCATTAACGGGATTGTAAATGACCCAGCCCAGTTCCGCAAACCCATTACCATATTTGAATTCGAGCACTGGCTATAGTGTTACCAGACAAGCTTCGAACAATAAGTTTTTGCTGTAGTTAACGCGTGGAGCATCTCTATTCGATCGATGTTCCGTTTATTCGTTCTGCTTTACTCCACTTAACGTTTTAACATTTGATGGAAAGTGTACTTAACGTCACACAATATTTCATACACTGCTTGCTAATGATTTATTTATTGTAACCGTTAATCCAAGTATTCGATACTTTTTTTTACGAACAGTATAGAATTATTCAATATTTTTCTGATTATCGATTTGAAAATTGTACAAACTCATTGCAGTCTTAGGTAAGCTTAGATTTAATTAAAATACTTTTCACAAGGATTTCAATTCTCTGCAGTAAATTAACAGTTGATTATTTCGTATTGTTGTTATTATTATCGCAGAACGAATAAATATTTTTCAAATTGTTGGTTACAGGCCGCTTCCGAAAAAGGCTGAACACGGAGCCCCGATCACCAGCAACAACAAATACGATTTATTGTTCGGCGTAACGACCAGCGAGGCTTTGTGGAAATTCGCGGAAAAGGACGTGCAGCAAGGATTCGAGGGCGAAAGACGCGACAGGATCATCAGGACATACGTGAGGAACACCTACGTCTACCATCTCACGGAGATATTTTACACGGTGAATATATTTTCACAGCAGTGAACATTATTTATTTCGAGGCAACACAAGTGTTTTTATTTTTCTATAACCTTAAACAAAACACTGGTCGTTTTGTGTATCGATGATAATATGCAAAGTGATTTATTGGACTATCTAGAACATTAGAAATTATAATTTGAAATGTAGAAGAATTGAAGGTATTTTATTCACGATAAAATGACGAATATTGTTACGCGTGAGCTGAAAAGTAATAATAACAAAAGCGAGTCATAGAGGAGAGAATGCAATTCATTGCGTCTAGCGCCACGTCCCCATGGACGACTTCCGCTTTACGTCCAATTTATCCCCATTATCTGCCCGTTTGTCTCCCACCTGGCAATTTAATTATGCAGAGTATTCTATTAGGGCTGATAAGACTATTAATGTGCATCTACGAGTGCGAATTTTACACGTAATTTCACGTGTGATCTGAATCTTGGAAAAGAAGTTTAATATTGTTTGAAAAGCAATAAAATTGGTGGAAAATTCCAGTAAATTTCAGTAGTTAAACAGCAATTGGTACATGCGCTGTGCAACGAGTAGATAAATAACGGAAGAAAGAGGGGGCGTAAAGTAAAAGATCGTAAATGTTCAGCACGCTAATCGTACAGCCGTGCCGTGTCGTTCATCTTTCCAAAATTCCGATAAACACCGCCGATTTCGACGATTATTTCCCAAGCCATTTTGCATTTATTTTCATAATGCTCTTAGGGAATAATTTGGCAAACATTTGGCGGATCATCGAGTCTCTCGTTGCTTCAATAAAAATATATCGTCCCGTATGTATACGCGTCTAATTATCCATAATCGTAAAACGGTATTTAACCACGAATCGCGCGATAATTGTCCCCCCTCGCGTGATCCGTATCGATGGAGGCCAGAGTTCGTACCGGGAGCCGATTTTCCAAATATTTCCAGGGAAAACGACCAACTCATTCTTTCCCCATTAGTTTCGCGTACCACGTTGCTACAAAAAAACAAATGCAATTAGCTATTTTTTTTATCGGTACGCAAACTTCGCCCGACGATACTCGCGAACGAAATAAAACGAACGTAACGCTGAAACACAAATCCACGTCGAAATCGAAGGAGCAGAAGTTCGTTTGATGGTCGCATTATTACTCTTCGCCGAACTCTTTGGGAACACCGACGACAGTTACAATTGCGCCGCGTTTGTCAAAGCAGAAACGAACGGACGCAGCGTCGCGTGCGAAAAAATTGTCTCGAATAATAAAAACAGCGCACGCTTGATAACACGAGTAACGGGAAACTTTCTCGCGGCGGGTGAATCCCGCCGCATTTGCATTTATCGTTAACAAAATGTGCGGAAACGAACCCCGGTATCAGTTTTCCCATTTCGCCCCGGCTCTTTGAATTCGTTCTACAGTTCGCTGAAATTTCAGTGAAATCCATCGAGTTACATCATAGTTCTCCGACGGTTCTTGTCGAATCTCGTCGGGAACAATCCGTGGTCATGGAAAATCGCTGACGATATTTAAAGAATTGCTTGCCAGGAAAATGAACCGAATATTCAGAAAAACAGTATCATGATTTTTTAAATAAAAGAGAGGTTAAATTTTAATCGACAGCAATATTTCTCTTCTGTTATGTAAAAATATATCTGGAATTTCTTTCGTGAACGAAAATTGTGATTTGGGTGGTGAATCTCTGGGAAGAATATTCCAACCGTGTAGAGCTATATTATATTGTTATTTGTTCATTACTAGGTGGTGAACGAGTATACGGATTGGGAGCGTACAGTCCAGCATCCCGTCAACACGAAGGACGCCTGCGTCCAGGCGCTCAGCGACGCACAATTTGTGGCGCCGTTGGTGCAAACTGGCGATCTATTCACCCTGAGACACACGAAGAAACCAAACAACCCTCATATTGCGCCGACGCCCGAGACAGAGAAAGAACCGATGCCCAAAACGTACTTCTACGTATTCGACTATCAGATGAAAGATGGCGACTATCCTGAGGTAAGTGGTTCTTCAGGCACACGCAACGAGACCAATCGGTTCCTCAAACCCGTGAATATTAACATCGTATTGTCTAAAGTATTTTAACCATCGTCTGACGTCCAAGTTATTACGAAACTTTCGCGTTATGGAACGTTCGACAATTATACTTCCACTTAACAATTGTATCAACGATATTTTGATAACAGTAACCGACTGATAATATTATTATAAACTATGTAATATTATGCACTGATTAATTATACTTCTTATGAAGAACTGTTTTCGAAAAGAACATACAATTTATTTAAAAAACTTATCATGTGTTTTCATAATTCTCAAATTTATGATGTTTTTTAAAGTTTGTTGACCTATGTTGCACATCACAGCACATTACATGACACCTTGATGGTTGATTGCAATAGGCGAATTATTTACAAGACAATACGTTTTGAGTTTGACTATGATGATAATAATAAGCGATTGATAGCATTATCTGGGATCATAATTAGCAGATTCCACTGTACCTGATAGAATGTACTAAATAAAAATTCTCGATAAAACTCAAATAACGCTGTACGCCGACTCGAATAACGTAACTTTTAATTACGTTAAAATTTAAAATATAGCGAAATTAAATGGAAACATCAAAATATAAACATGAAAAGATTAATTATATCTGAAAGCTCCAGAGTTAATTGTACCACTTTTAACGAAACACCCACGGTGTACATTTTTAGGTGGAAATATTAAATTAGTCAAAGAATTAAATATTTATTAATTAATGCCAAGCTCGACAAAATAAATGTACGGTATTTTCATTTAGGACCAATCGTTGTGTCACAGACCGTTACTGTGATTTATATTTTATGATTCAGATACTTTTGCTTGCATAAAGATCGATGAAAAGGTAAATTGTTTATGTGATATAATTAAAAATCAATACTGACTTCGCGGAATGAAATGGTTACTGATTTATTTCGTGTTTCTAGTTCTTCTAACAATTTCCAGTATCAATGATCTGTGGAAAGGATCGCGTAATCGTTGCAGTTCCCCTTCGTTTCACTCGACGTACTTGATCATTGTCGCACGGAATACAGTACCGTAAAATAGGACAGAGACAATTGAATTATCTTTAACGTGTAAATAATCAATGACGAGACGTTTAAAAGTTTGCAGTCGGTTGAAGTACAATGTTTAAAAAACAATAACTTTAACTTACGTTTGAGAATACTTCCATCGACATATTCATAAAACTGGCAACGAGTACTCCGCAAGGCTCTATCGTTTTCTGCAATATAATTAGTATCGATTTTTGCGTTTCCAAAGGTGCTTCGTACCATCGAGCGAAATACCTGAAAAATATTACAACGAGCATCAAACCTACCGAGAAAGTTGCGTTTTCAAGTTTATTCGTAAGTTTATACGTAAACTTGTAACAGAGAAAAATAGAAAGAATTTTATATCCGATCGAACAGTTAAATTTTTATCGTCGTGAACTACCCAACTCTGTAATTAAAGTTTTAATTTCTACTTAACGAGCAACGGGTAAGCAGTCGTTTATCTTTTATTCTTTATTCAAAACTTTTATCTGACTGAGAATTTTGCCCATCTGTAACGTCAAGAGACGAGGAACAGAATGGAAGGTGTAAGCTTTCGCCAGTGGACTTGAGCAACTAAACTAACTTCGAACTTTCGTACCTAGAAACCAATTAAAAACCTTACGCAGGAAGTTGAAACGGGATGGATTTTTTATTTCATTGCGAGACGTTTCTGCAAGCTGATATATGTGTAACATACGAGATATGTAATAGTAATATTTTCAGTAACAAAATGAAAACGAAGAGTGGTGTGGATTTGTCAAGCTTGCTAAGTTGAATCGATTGATATTCCAATGCAATATTGTTGAGGTAATGGCTAGTAAATGTTGCAGGGGAATCACGAACGCAGAAATTTTGAAATTTCATCGTGGTAATGCCAGCTTTTGGTGCTCACGTTTTGTAAAAAATGTCCGAGCTGCAATCTAGGAGCCGTTGTCCCGAATAAATGTTCATGTAAACGAGAAGTATGTTACCACCGGCGTGTAACGTGCAACTGATTGCTTCGACCACATCATCCATAGTTCTCAGGGCCTCGAACATCTAGAAGAACATGAACGAATATTTCGAACTTCTTCCAGTTTGAGTGATTTTTTAATCGAAAATGCAAGCTTACGCGAAGCGTGGTGCACGTAACGACACCTAAAGTCAGTCCAGCTTGTATCACCAGCGAAACGCTATAGTGAGCGACCAGTGTTTTGACGTATCTTCGATTTAAAACAGTTTCGAAATTAAAAAGAGACGTCAAGATGTTGAAAGTATTTCCGATGAAATACGTGGACACATTTGTCTCTAGAAAGTAAATGGCCAATACTAACTCAATGTTTTCGCTGTGAAACTGTACACAGTTAACGATTCTCTCTGACAGGATAGATTTCCGGTGAATACTGTAAACTCGTTGCTCTCCATCTATATGGTCGTCGAATATGTGTTCCAATCGATAACTAAAAGATATAAACAAATACCTAGATGCCTATTCTAAAGGCATCTCGACAAAAATGTAAACTATATATGCTGTATTTTATTATGTGGCATATACTCGCCCCAGAATGCTGAATCTAGCGCACAGGTGAAAGAGTATAGATATGATGACGATGTCGCTGGTCGCCGCCATGTTCACTCCCATTACGACAGACATGATAGTGTGCAATGCGATTGGTACGTAATATTTTCGTTTGTCAACGAGATACTCTCCGCTGTAGATGAACAATCGGGAACGAGATTCTTCCAGAGGCATAATTGTATCGAGTACGCCCGGTGAAAAAATTAACGCCGCGTACAATGCTGCGCCTGCATATACAACGACTGAAACGATTACAAATTTCGATCAAAATAAATATATATCGTGTCGCGTTTGGATGTTCTTTGGAATGAATTTCTGTGAATTAATTTTATTTATTTAACTCGTCTATTCGCCGAATAAAAATAAAAATTTATCGTTGATCTCCTTACCAGCGTAAACGATAATCAACGCCCGTCCCTCCTCCGCGTATCTTTTCAAAACTTTTATGTCTTCGGGTTTCGTTAGCACGGCCCAATCGTGTCTGAGACACTCCAAGAGTTTTAACAACTGTAAGATACAATAATTAACATTAAACCTACAATAAACGGTCAAGTGAATGATTTATATTATTTTGTAAAAAACTGGACAAAATTTGGTATCAAATTCTGGTTAGTTTCCCACGTAAATAGGAAATATATGTGTAGCAAATATGAAAGGAGAGAATCTTCAGTTTCCACTGTCTTAGAACAGTCTAACAACGCGTGTTAAAAATAGTTAATCTTTAGACGCGTGTAGTTCCGAAACTACTAGTGTTTTATCCATTATTAAGGCATTGTTAGCAGCGGTAAACCTTCCTCTTTAAAATGGTTTTTGGTTTTTGACGATCCGACTTCCCGTTTCGGAGATATTGTAATTTATGTGAAGCGACGATTTTTTTAAGATTCTGCTATGGCTCTTCCCGTGTTAAAACGCGTATTGAAATTACTAAAACTTTAATTACTTGCAGTTCCGAAATTATTAATATTTTCTCCATTATTAAGCGATCGTTGGCGGCGGTAAACCTTCCTCTTTGAAGTGGTTTTTGGTTTTTGTCGATCGGACTTTCCGTTTTCGAGATATCGCAATTTATGTAAAAGGTAATTTTTCTTAATTCGACTATCGCTGTCTTCGTCTGGCGCGTCGGACCTCCTTGTCGCACGTTGACCCACTGACCGAGTGAATGAATGACGTCACGTTTACTATTTACTACGGTCACGTGCGGTCAACGGCCTTGACAAGGCCGTAGTAAACAAAGCTTCGGAGCCTTATATCTCCGAAACTAGCCACCGCGTCGACTTGAAACTAAAATCGCTATATCTCCGGAACTAATAACGCTATCGACTCGTACAAACGCTCGTTTTAAAGGGCATTTCATCCCCTATCGAATGATCGCATCACCTACTATAATTTATGTTGTCTTCTATATTTATTTTGAAGTTTACTTTGACGCTACACACCCAAGGAAGTTTCAACAATTCCTATTGATTATACGACTGATGTGCGATAAAACTTTATCACTATTTAATTGAATATGAATATAAATTTGAATACGTTGCCTCGTAAAAGAGAAAAAGAAAGACTGATCATGGGTAGGAATGGGTAAACAGTTAGTGTCGATAGGTTTACTGTTAATGACCGTCGCAATTATTTTTAAACGCAATATTATAATGAATCCCAAATTCGATTAATACAAGCGATAAAATTCCACGCCGAGATTCCTCTTCCGTTTACACATTTATGACGAACTGATTATAATGGTCGTTAAAATTATTATTAGTTACAATCATCGAACGAACAGCGTTTATCAAGAAATTCTTCGCTTAAACATCTACGCGCGTGCATGTTAATTACTATAATTTAATAATCAATCGTGTACACATTCGGGCGTCCATAATTTTATTGTTATTACAATAATTGATTACTTACGCTGTTAGAGTTGTACGAGCAATTGGTAAACTTCACAAAGCAGATCAGACACGTTAATACCGGGGTGAAAACTCTGATTACAAGATCGTAGCTGAACTTCTTCGTTAAAAAGTGGCATAGCTAAAGAAATTTTCTTATTAGCTTTAGTTCCTGTTAAACTTTCGTGTAAAACTAGTTCGAAGAATAAATTTCTTTTTAATCTACACAAGCAGTATTCATTAACAAGTCTACGTTGAAATTATTAAACGGATAATTTCAGTGTCTCAAAAAACACGTCGCTTGGGAAAATAGCTACACATCGAATCAAAAAACAACAGACACAAAATATTGCAATAAAATATAAAAAGTTTAAATTACCTGCGTGATTACCCAGCTCGAAACGTACAGATAAATGAAGATCTTCTTAAGCAACTTCGACCATGAACGTTCATAGGGCCATTGCCCATTGACGAACA